GTTTCAGTATGGACTGTCAGCTTCCAGGCTCCAAGGACTGACAGCTTCCAGGGTTCCCACCAGTCAGAGCAGCTGGTTCCCCACTAGCAAGAACTCTTTTTTTACTTAGCCCTGTATTTCTTTCCCTGATTTTCCCCAACCCAAGTCTCAAAGGACTATGGAGCAAGTCCTGTGTGTAATAAATTTGTGGCTGCTTTATGGACTGTGGCATGATACAAAAAATTCAGTTCATGCTATTAAAACATTTGACACTACTTTTCCTAGGGAGTCAAAGTATTTGTCTTTTCTGTATGTCTAAACAACCTATTAAACAGGGAAATATTCATCTTTTAATATTTCCTTCATACCCTTTTACCAGCATTTTGATTTGAATGAAACCAAATACAAGTTACCTATTTATTGCTGTATTCAAGTGATTCCTGAAAAGAAGAAAATCTGGGATGTTGCAAGGTGGGGGGGAAAAATTTACCTATCCAAAGGTAACATGTTGCAAGTGCTAAAAAGAGCATCATCTTCACATCAAATCAGGCAAGGTACAGGATTCAAGAAACAAGGTGCCAAGAGGCAATTTCTCAGCAAGATGTTAGCATCAGAACACAAAGTGATGTGTCTGGAAGCAGAACTGCTGAGCTGCAAACAACCTGGGTGTGAGTCAGAGAATATTAGGACAGTGCCTGTCCACCAGGAATACAGACTTGATTGCATGTGACTTGTGTCAACTCTGGAGACATCAAGAGCAGAACATAAAAGCAAGGCAACAGAGATATTTCTAAATGAGCCATTCAGCCTCTAAGGCAATGAATCTGGCAACAACTCGAGTTTCAGGAGGAAAAAAAAGTCAACATTCCAGGTTTGTGTTCCATGGTTATACCCTTCATTCATCTTTTTTTTTTCAGGCAAAAGGTCACCGAAACATTATGTTTTAAATCATTAAAAGACACAATCAATCTCCTTTCAAACTAGCCCATAACTTTGAAACCAGAATCCAATTGCCTGTTCAGGCTCATTAGTGTCTTTGGATCCTAATGACCCACTCAGTTGCAGTAAATGAAAAACTAATCCTTGTTTTATGCCATTGGCCAAAAAGGATTAGCCAACTCTTGCTACCCATGCAATCAGCCTTGCACTGGGGAGATTACAACCATCTAATACTGTAAGTCTACACATTCCAATCTGTTACAATATGTAGCACTTAAAGCTTATTTCCCTGAAATGCTTAAGCGCATTAATGCTGTAGTGTAAGATTGTTTTCTTAGCATCAGTGACTCTTCTACCCCTGCCCCAAAGTCTGTATTTACCCACAGACATGCCATGATGTCCTGCTACCTCCAACAGTTATGTTCATACTCTTGAAATGAAAAATTAAATAGATATTTTTTCTTTGCATAAGGTCCAGGCTGGGGAGGCAACAATGTACAGGTGTCTTGAAGTGTGTGGAAAGACTGCAACTAGGACTGTGAAACACTGGAACCAGAGAATTCATTAACTGTTGGATGTTTAAAATCCAGGTGATATTTTTTGCACCCTGCTAATAATCTGAACATTGAAATAGAGCCATTACTTACTTTCAGTGTTCTCCAGTCAACACTGTGGGTTGTAACTCCAGTTCTGTATTGTGTCACTGCAGTTTTTCCAACTCAGAATTCTGGTTGCTCCTACTATATTAACCATAAAATCTGTCAGCAATTACATGAATCTATATTGTCACACCATACACTTTCTTTTTTTCTAAGTAGTCACATGATGTTATAAGATGTTATAAGAGACAATTTAATATGGTAAAGAGCCAATTTTAACACTATCAGATTCCCTATCCAGACTTGAACACCGCAGTTTTTCTGACATAAAATACACAACTCTTGTGGATACCTTAAATATTAGGTATAAGAACACAACAAAATTAGCCCTGCAGAGTGTTGTGCTGGACAAATGCACTTTGTACTGATAGACTTTGCCTGAAGTCACAGAAAATCCATAAATGCTTAACACAAAACTTGAATTTTGCATGGGAAGAGTTTGCTGGATGTCTAATTCCCTATCAAAAGTGGTTCAGGAAGCATTACATGAAAGGAAATGTTACATCCCACAACTGCTGGGAGTTGTTACATTAGGCTTTACCTCCTAGTTTCTAAATTAATCTTCAGCATCAAACTTGTCCAGTTATTGCTTATTTGTTAGCCAAATATCCCCAACCATTTATAAATGTTATTTACATTTATGCATCACTAAAATTAACAATTAAATAGTAGATGGTGCTCCGAAGTGTTGTGTTACTTCACAAATTACAATGGAGTTTTTTTAGTGGAAACCACTTTGCCCAACATAAATGTGGAGAAATGCTCTCTGTGTTATTGCTGATCAGAAAAATTACATCCCCATATAGCTTTTATTTCTATGGGAGAAAGAAAACTGAGGCATCAGTGTCTTCCTCATACAGCAGCAGGTAGGAGTGTAAATTTTGTTAATCACTGTACAAACATTTTACTCAACAAATTCCAAAATTCATTTAGACAAATATCATATTACCTACCGTTCTGGTGATGTAAAGTATTGAATCAGCACTGACCGAATGCAGCTTTTACTGACAAATACTTCATTAAAAGCTTAAGTGGAATGAGAAATATATCAGGGCCCTAAATAACCCTTTGCCTTCTGGTTAGGATCTTCATATAAGGTTCAAAGTCAAATCCTTGCTCTGTTTTTCTCAGAGGTTTTTGCTGTTAGTACCTTAGGGCTCAGTTGTGAACCTGAACTCTTGTTTTACTAGGTGCAATACAAGGACAGAGCAGGAAGGTGATCCCAACCTCCAAGGACTCACAGCACGAGTGCACAGTGTAGCATATTGGCACTGTGCTGACAGCTGCAGTGCTTTTAAGGGATTACAGCTCCCTGCTGCCATCTCTGCCACACTGCTCCAGGTTACTGCCCTCCAGCCCCAGTCACGTCTGCAGTACCTGGAATACCTGGCTTTTTGCTCTCAAGCAGCCCCTGCTTTGTCAAGAGAATCTGAATCTCTGCTTATACAGCTTCCAGAGCAGAGAGGGATGTAGTCAGATGTGTGTGTAAAGGACAAGCCAAAATGACATTGGTCAGTGAGGTGTGTGCCAGTGTCAGCAATCCAGCAACATGACTGCTATGGATTTTGTAAGCATAACCAGGGATCATTTCTAGGCTGAATTTGACAGATACTAATGAAACAATATCTCAGTGTATGTTTATAAGCAGTTCATCCTCAAATACCAGAAAAATATCCCAAATGCTGAGTGGTTTCCTCTTCTGAGGCAGCTTTCTCTTTTTGTTATTAATCAGCCTATCCAATTTGTGCCAGTAAACATCCAGCAAGACCTAGAACTGTGGTTTCTCCCACTTCAACCTGCAGCCTTGACTACCAGACTGTAATGTCAGAGACATGGATGACAGAATTCGTCAGGAGACAGGAAAACAAGCTTCAGTATAACTGAGCAAACAAAACTGTTCTTTCTGGCTTTCTAATGATCTCAGAATAGCTGCCAGTACTGTAGCATGCAACGCTGCCTCAAATAACACAGGGGGACTCTCAAACTTGCCTCTGCCTGGTTTTAATTTTCAGGTTGTGAGTTGTGCAGTAGATTAGAAAAGATATTTAAAATAGTTTAACATGGAAACCCATGTTTGGAGAGCACAAAGTCCACCAAAACCATGTGTCTCACTTGTTAGCTGGACTTCAGCAGCACTTTACTGAAGTTTCCTGAATCCCTCTCCAGTAAAACAAAAATCCATCTGGCACGAATCTCTAGGCACTAGTTCTTAAGGAGAAGCTGAGCTGCACAAAATTAGTCCTGAGGCATTTAGGAGTTTGGCAGAAAAGTAGCGTCAGAGACCACTAAGATTTTGGTCATTTAAGGCTTTGCAGGTGAGCAGAGGGAGAGGGACTCTACTTCCCTTTGGACCTTGTTGACATTTCTTGGCAGACTGTGCAGACTCTACTTGTTCCACTCAGTCCATGTGCCCTTCTGACCAGTTTGTGCATTCTCAATGTCTCCTGTGAAGTCTGCTAGATGCTGTGGTCTCCCTTTCATTTGCTTTGCTTCCCTTTCAGCATTTCTCCTGCCTGCTGGCAGGCAGGGTGCCCACTTCACAGCAAGTGACAGAAACCCAGGAGTTCCAAATGCTTCATATGTAGGAGAAATAAGTAACTTCCTTCAAAGGCCATAAATGTGAAAGTGTTTGTTCTAGAGAAAATGGATGTGAGGGATTCACAGGGCACAGTGCTGTGGTGGCTCAGAACAGTCAGCATTCCTTGCTGAACAACCCTGATACTGTCCTGACAGTCATCCTTTCCACTAGGAATTCAACTTGTGGAGAACTGGTGGATATACTTGTACTGACCACAGTTAGCCTTTGGGAACTTTGTCCTTTTTGGATAGATAAAGAGGAAGAAACTTGCTTTCAGTATTTTGAGTAGAAAGACAGAAGTTGAACTGTTAAGTATTTTAACTGCACCATTATTTCACTTCAGGTATTAAAAACTTCACATAAAGTTATCAAAAACATTTATTTCAGAAATTTTATGTCAGCTGTTGTACACAGAATAGTTAAGAACATTGTCTTTAACTCAAATTCAGCTTTTACTGCTACAATAAACAGTCACTCTTACTAACACAAGTAATTTAGTTTATATCAGAGGTTGAAAGTACTCATCTAGATCTCACACAGATACTGAATTAACCCAACACACCACTGTAAAATGGTGTTTCTGCTGCTTGTAAGTGCCAGTTTAGCAAAAGCATGTCATAACACTACATGAAAAAACACATTTAGGAGATAAATGAGAAAAATAAAAGCTGCATCTTAATGCATGTGTGGCTGAGGAACACACACATGGTCTTGCAGCAACTGCAGCAACGTATTCTAACATGAAATGAAACAAGAAGATGAAATGCTTTGCACTCTAACTTCAGAAACTGAAAACGTTTGTCAAGGCTAAGCAGAAAAAAAATTTTAAAGGAAGTCAAAGGTATTCAAAAGAGTGTAAATGGCTTTGTATTCTGTAAGGAAGAATGAAAACCTTTCATAGAAGGAGACTGTGATGATCTCTGATCCTGTCCAAATGCAAATGGAAAACTAAAGTCATCTTTTCCATCTCCAAATGCATGAGAAGTTGATTCCGAGGGGAAGGGAAAGGCAAATGCATCCTCACTTTCTGGCTTCCCAAACAAGCTTCCTATATGGAATACATATTATATTCATTATTAGATTCAGTTAGAGAGAATACTGCATCCAGCATGTTTCCTTAATAATATATTGTGCCCAACATCCCTCTGAGCATCAACCTGCAGTTGTGTTTATTCCTGCACTAGAAGTGGTACTTCCAGGGGGTCATTATTAGAATCTACAGGGAATGAAGTGTGAAGAATTTGAATGATTTATGGCAATAAAACACTTCTGCATGAGATATTGTGCAACAGAGGTCTTTGTAAACAAAACCTGCAAAGGTGTTTCTTTAGAGAACGACAGGATCCACCACTGAAATACTTGGAAAAACAAAGCTACCAACAGAAAGACACATGAGTTTCCATTTAGTAACACAGAATTCACAAACCTCTCTTTAAAATAGCTACATATGCATAAAACCTTATATGCATTCACTTTTGAAAGTAGCTTTGCACGTGCAGCACTTCCAAAAAAAAAAAAAAAAGAGAAGGTAGGTTACTGTTCCCTTCAGGAAACTGTTTGACCAAGGTAGGTTACTGTTCCCTTCAGGAAAGTGTTTGACCAAGAATAAGTTTTGGTCCTCTTGCTATCAAGAAAAAATGGCTTTTCCTTTCAGTCAATCCAGGATTTCACAGAGATGGTGTCAGTGTCTCTGGCTCACTCACACTGAGGGGAAGGTACTGTTCAGTAAGTCTGACTCTCTTGTGCCATTTTTAAACGTGTACCTCCAGCAGGTTACACTGATGAAAGTCAGTTTATTATTGAGATTTCCTTAATCAAATAGAAATTTTATCTTCATTGTAGTTGCGGTAGGAAAAAACCCCAAGCAGATGTGCTCTTTCCAGCACTAAGTTGGTAACTTCAAGATAGAGTAGTATTTACCAAGTCCTACAGCTTTTTACATCTCTTGAGTTTGCCTCAAACACACCTACCACTGTCCCTATTTTTTTTCACACCTTTTTTTCCATGACATTTCAGACCTTTGAAGCCAAACATGCAAGGAAAGATTTAAGCTAGTCAAAACACAAATGAGCACAATAAAACACTGAAATACATTATCACAACTGAACGTCCTTCCAGCCAACCTAAGGTGCACTGTTAAGCAAGATCATGAGCTTGTCAGTCACAGAAACACAAGAGTGCTGGCACATACAGGCACATCTGAGTTTCAGACTTACCAATGTCTTTGTGTGGGGACAGAGGGTTCATGTTTCCCACAGAATAATTTTCCTCTGTCTGCAACATAAACAGACGTTTTATTTAACAAATGAGAAAGACAAAAGATAAGATCTAATGCTGCCATGTAATATACTCATTCCCTTTTGGTAAGAAGACATTGTCTCAGTGTCTTCACAGCTGTCACAAAACCTGCATCTAAAGGTACAGGTCAGTCCCTGAAGCTGCAAAGTAAACCCTTTGATAGATGCGTGCAAAGACCAGCAAACCTATCTGCAAACACACTCCCTCTATTCTAAAAAAAATGTCAGACTGACCACAGTCCAAAGTCTGATCTGGCTCACTGCTACATTTAAAAATGAGAAGATTCAAATTTATTTAATTCTGTGATGTTTTAGAAAACCTCTGAGCAACAACACAATTACTTCATACTGAGTAGGACCTGATATCGCCAGAAAGTGTAGCAGAATAACCACTCACACTCTTGAGAAGAGTTCTTAGGCTAGATTTATAATAGATACTACAGTCCCTCAAGGCTCCCATCTAACTTCAGACAATCCCATGTCTGCTACAGCCTGGTAAACTCTTGGGTTTTGCTGCTGAGCAGGCACAAAATACTGTGGGTTCTGATAGCCTTAGGTGCCTTAATACCTCACTCCTAAACAATTCACAAACCACTCACCAGTGTGTTCTCTCCTACATGCAGTTGATGCTGGGAGATGCCAACCACTTTTAATGTGCCAAACACAAAATAAATGGAGCTTTCCCTCATCCCTCCTCCAGCTCCTATCTAGTAATCTCAAGACAGAGCACACCCACTGAAACAGGAGATACCTAGTCTCAAATCCCTTTTTTGCATAATGGGGTTGAATCTACATTGCCAGCAGGAGACACCTAACCCCTGCACTATGCACCGATACCTGTGTATGCTGAATCCCTAGTTATCTCCCTAATCTCCCAGGAGAGAAAAAAATACCTAACCTACCTAGCTCCTCCATATAAGTATAGCTAATCCACATTTGCTCTTTAACACTCCTAACAGATAGTCCTTCCTTCCTTTTCTCACTGTTCCTCATTTCACCAAGGCACAACCACACAGGATAGGCATGTGAGCTGTGAATTCTGCCAGGGAGCCTAAACTTTGCACTGCAATGCTGAGCCAGAAGCCTTTTGGTGAATCTAGTCACCTGTATATTGGCACAAGATCCATATGGGAAAGATTCATACTTGGTCAGAAGTCATCATGGGGGATTGCCAGGAAGGGGGACATCAAATATAAAATTAAACAAGCAATTAAAAAAATTGTTTGCTACAAAGATAACCAGTCTGAAAAAGCTCATTAACTGACCATGCTGTTTTCTTAGCATATTAGCAGAAATTTGGTGTTCTCAAGTACTCATATTTACCTCATCAGACGAATTTTCTGCCCCAAACACAGAAGAATCGAATAAATTAAAGCCTGGAGACTTCTGGGAGAAGTTAATGAGAGAAAAGAAAGCAGGAGATTTTGATGTTCCTTCATCACAACCTAAATTTTGAATGCTGTAAAGATAGGAGGGAGAAACTAGATTAATAGTTTTTAAAACAACATAGATGTGGGTTTGTTCTGGTTTTGGTTTTTCTGGCTTGTCACTCTTTGAGAGCCCCATAGCTTCCATCAATTATTGCTTTTTGCATCACAGGACAGGTAACACAAGTCTTTAAAGCAAAGTGAGGTGTGTTTTTACAAATTCCCTTACCTGTTAACAAAATAAAAACTGTTTAGAGATAGAAACCAGTGTAACAAATAACTCAGGAAAAATATCTGAATATTTTCATAAGAGCTTTCTAGAGAAATCTTTCTACAGTATCTTTCAAAACCAGAAGAAATGTTTATGCAATAAACATCAAAACAAATTTTTGCTCAAAATGGAAGTAAAAGCAGGAATCATACAAGTCAAATGGAGGTATTTTGGAGAACTGGGTTTTCTTCCCCTGTGAGTCAGGCATTCCTACAAACTCAGGTGTTTTAGGTGCTCTTAGAAAAGGTTCTGCACTTTCGTCTGCTGTGTCAGAATTATCTTCATTTGCCTTAAAACCTGTGTGCATGTCCTGTTAAAAAGAAATATATGATAATGTTTATGGCATATAAAGTTTCCCAAAATATCACTAGTCCATTTGCCTATAAATATGTTCATCATCTGGTTTAGGGTTAGCAAGTTTGTTTTATTTTAAGGAAATAAAAAAATGATTGATTGGCTTCTCATGGGTTGTTTGCCTTATAACGAGTCACTTTGCTAATTTCTGAGAGTTACCTCTTGCTAACTGATTCAAAAAGGTCAAAATACTTTTACTCATCTAAATAAAAAGTTACTTATCACATATGAAATACTTTGCTTACTTGAGGCATATGTGAAGGATCCTTTGGCTCATCATCTGCTTCTTTATCCCCACATTTGGCCTCTTGGTTTGCTGTACAAAAAAGACAGCACTGCATGTATTGCATCAGCATGTTAAACAGATACATAGAAATTACATTGTGGGAAAGAATCCTTGAGAAAGGTTTGCTAACTTGGCGTTGCTGTTGGTGAGGAACTATTCTGCCTGTGGTTTTCACAATAACCCACTTTGTGGCTGTGTCCATAATAATTACCTCTTGTTCTGCCACTTAGTCTCTATTGTTAAAGCATTACTCAGGCTGCTTCATGTGGTCTGGTGTGTTCTTCAAACCTACCCATTGTTCCCTGAGAGTGCTGCTGTCTAATGCAGCTATTGCCCTCTGAGAGTGCTAATACCAGTCAATAGAAACCAGGTGGGAACAATACAAAAAGCACATCCATGTGACAGCGATGAAGTGTAGCTTAGAGAACTGGGCACAAGCCAAGATGAGAAACGAGAAGGATGTTATCAGACTTTCTGCTCTAAGCTTCAGGCAGTGCAACATTTCAGGCACTGTGGGTGTGTTTATAAACACAGTGTCCTGTTTATAAAAAGTATAGACTATAGTCTTTTGCATGAATCTAAATTAGCACTATCATTAGAAAAAAAATATTTAAACTGCAGCCCAGTGCCTTGCGATTTCAAAACCTATAGGTGTGTTTGTAACTGCCCTGATGTGTTTCTGTAAGCATCATCTGTGTATTTCTTTAGTTAATTATCATCTTTAATAATCTTTATCTGGTGCTTCAAGATTCCTGTATTACTGGGTTTACTATACCCTTTCTCTTTGCATTTTCTCATGCCTTCTGGGCAGGTTTTCAGACTGGATTTTATTTTACCCAAGTAATTTGAGACTAGAGTGTGAATTCACAAGAGATGTTGGAAGGTTCCTTGCATTAGCAAGAGTCAAGGCAGAATTAATGCCACATTACTGAGCAGTTCAGTCTCTATTTAAATTAGGACTCAGCCTGTCTGATATACTCAGAGTTTGGACTAAATAATCAAGGTGGAAAAGGAACACAAATGGTGACCCACTTAATACCAGAACAAAAATTTGGCCCCAGAATTTCTTGGTTTATAGTTAATGTGATCCAGATTTATCAATAAAATGACAATGGCACTTTACCTATTACTGCATTTTCACTCTCAAACTGTTCATTGGAAATCGACTGCTTCGGAGGATTTGCCAGTCTAAAAGACAAAATATACTTTTGGTCTAAATATGAATTATTTCTATGAATTTCAATCTCAAGAATGAAAACTATGTTATTGAAGAAAATTACCTGAATTTCATCTGGTTCTGTACACTTGCTGTTGATGGAACTTGGGCAATCTGTGGGTTATTAGTCCCTGCAGTGTCAATAACCATCTAAACACACCAAAAACATTCAAATGAGGCAGGAAATAAAATCTTCACTTCAACAATATCACTCTGATTTCTCCTCAGACCATGGAAATCCTTTCTTCTAACCACTCTTTAGAGGTCAGATAATACAAAAACATTTTGCTTGTCTTTGCTTCACCTCCATTTTGAGAGCATGATGCCCAAACCACTTCTATATAAATTTTGTAATAAAGTCCCAGTCACAGCCCTGATAACTAGATGTGAATAACAAACTTCTCTATGACACAATTAGAATTATGTAATTTACAAACTTCGTCCAGGTTTGCTACTTACCCTAACTCATATATCTATTTGTGCCTTAAGGGCAGAGTGGCATAAGGAATCTGTGCCTCAGCATCAGATAACACATGATTTCATAGAATCTTCTAGTTCTGGTTTATTTTGAATCTGCAAAATGTATCAAATTGAACTCAATTCAGGGTAGGGGACAAAAGAGCTGGTCCTGCCACTCCACTCCTGTAGTTTACAGCACACCTTCTCTGAAGCATAGCAACTTTCTTCCAGTCTTTTTATTTTTCCTCAGACTGCATCTTCTTTTCCTTGTTGCCACCACCCTTGCTGAAAGTTCTCTTAACCTTGACTTACTGCTTCCCACTATTGTCTAAGTGCAATTCTAGGTCCCAGATTCCCAGCGTCATCTCTAGATTACCCTAGCAACAGCCCTTCCCTCATCCTCATCATGTCTAACTCCTTCCACCAGTCACAAATCAGAATTGTTTGATATTTCTTCTGGTCTAGTTCCACTCAATCTAGCCACTGCCCTTCATGTTGTCTTATCTTATAAAGGCTTCATCTTCTCCCACAGGCTCCACTCTAAACCATGTAGTGATTCACTCACTTCATCTTTCAGTTTTTTGCAATTCTTAAGAAAATCATAGCTGGTTCTGTTAAGTTTTTAGTTGATTTTTGTCATTCATTAAAATTTGGGTTTAAATAGATCCAGCAAGATGTCCCTTAGAAAGAAGGTTTTGATGTGGAAACTTCCTCAAGCTTCTATACAGCAAACACAGTTACAAACTATTTTATTCCCCATGGCCTCACCTTATCCTTTGATACCTCAACTCTTTATAGGACCTATTGGTCCTATGAATGTTCTTGAACTTAATGAGGCTAATAGTTGTTTTCGCAACTGTTGTTCCTCTAAATTGTTCCTGGATTGGTTTCTTGTGCTTGAATATTTAAAATATGAAGTTACAATACACTGCACCATTTCAAAGAAGTGCCATAGGAACTATGTGCTTATGGGTGAGAGGTAGCAAATGGAGTTGTGGAACTCTGCAGCGTACAAAGCAATGTTGTTTGTGGTTTTATTCCTCTCAGCCCAGATTCTCCCCTGATTGAACCTCAGAACTGGCCTGCTAACTGTAGGCTGTTCTGTGTAGCATCCTGCACATTTAGTCCTTTATGGAATCCTTCACTATGGAGGAGATGGCTGGTGATTAATTGTAGTAAAAGACTGAGTTCCTCCTTTAGAGTTCCGAAAATTTCCTAATATGACCGAGTGAATCTACAAAGGTTATTCTAAATTTTTAAAACTATTATACAAAACTAGTTGGAAAGATGTTCCGCCTCAGGCTTGATGTGAGAATGTTTGCTGTGTCTACCAGTTGCACTTTGCAGGAACATACATATTTTCAGAATGAAGAGGCACCAAAGAAAGGTTTTTGTTGGCATTACCAAGTAACAGTGTGTCAACAAGTTTTATGTAAGCTATAACAGCACAAGGTGTACTTGAAGTGGTTTAAATTTAAACCACCACATAAACCAGAATACATGATCCCATGTTTTCACCTGTGGCAGAGCTGCATACCTGTGATGAATTTTCTGCAAGGCTGGAGGAGCTGCTGGTGGCCACTGAAAGTTCCATAGGTTTTTCCTTTTCTTCTCTCCCTAAATTAACAAGCATTACACAATATTGTCAATAAGATGAAGTGTCTGAAGCATGGCATTGTTAAACTGAACTTGGGAACAAAGCTTATAAACTTTCCTGTTAATACAGAGTGAAAAGAAAATTATCACAAGATATGACAGCATCAATCAAATAAAAATTGGTTAATGTTTCCCGTACTAGTGCAAACAGTGCTGAGGTTAGGATTCAGATTTTTCTGGCACTGTGCATCAGGTGTATCTGTCATGGTACTTTACTTTTTGCACAGATAGGAGAGGAATCAGACATAGAAGATTTCCAGAACATAGAGCTCCCAACTTCCATTGAAACCCTGACCTCAACTATCACAGCAGGGGCAGTTCACTAGATCTGCTATCATGGATTACCCCTTCATTTACACAAAAATAATCCAAAATCCTCACTGACAGCTCTTTAAACACACTGCACCTGTCTCTGATCGTTGCTTTGAGAATCTGATACTTTGTACAGACTGGACTAACTTGCGAGGAACGCATGGGACGTGCAAAGGTTTGTACAGCTGATGTTTCTCACTTGGCAAAGGGGAGTGTTCCTGCTCTTCAAACATCCTAAAGGAAAATAAATTTTAAAAAAGTAGGTTACTCGTTGTAAACAAAAGAATCACAAAATATAACTGCTTCAAATATGTGGAGTTTTCAAGGGGATTGGATGTTGTCAGGGAGGTTCTACCACTTTCAGTACCAGTAGCTGATAAAAATTGAGGTTTTCTTTAAATAATATTACACTGAAAATATGACTAAAAAAAGAAGCCATAAAGAAGTAATAAGCCAATTATAAGAACTCTGATGACTTAAAGTTTTTCAGTATCAAAGAAAAGTGTTAGTAGTTCAGAGTTTTACACTTTGATTAAAGTACTTCATTATTGTGGTTCTGAAATCACATTTAACACTTAAAAACACTTTTTCTCTCTCTCTGAGATTGTCTGGAATACTCACACTGCACATACAAAAGAGAAAACTGCAGCAAGTGTTTTCACTTGTGGGGTAATTATCTGTGGAGGGTAAATAGCCCTTTGCAGTGTAGAAAGACAAAGGTGAGCAGAACAATGAAGGGCAAAGTGGCTATTTGGCACAGGAACATTTGCCATTTTTGAAAATAATGAGTTCTATTTTACTTCCCTACTTAGAGCCTCTGTGCTTCTAGTTACAACATCTGATTTGTAGCTGACTAAACAATGCTGTTCTGAACAAATGAAAAACTGAGTCAGTGTGTTGGTTCTTCTTGAAATTTTACATGATAAGATAAAATGTAGGATGAGCTTTATAAGATAGTGTGGGGTAAAATTGGCAACACTCATAAAAAATACCAAACTAGAAGCACTGGTTGAGACATACGGACCTGTCAACACATTGAACTCCTATACATACATGACTGTGCTCACATAAAACTGTGAGTGTACCTCAGTCAAGTCACTCTGATGGAAAGGACTATGTTCACCTGTAGTTACATAGACACCTAGTGCTGTGCTGGATTGAGGTCGAACAATCTATATAAACCATATACCACTTAGTGCAGCAACCAAAAAAACCCATGAATATGATAGATTTTTATGTGAAAGTGTGCTCAGGTGGCCAAGAAGGCCAATGGCATCCTGGCCTGGATCAGGAACAGAGTGGTCAGCAGGACCAGGGAGGTGATTCTGCCCCTGCACTCGGCGCTGGTGAGGCCACACCTTGAATCCTGTGCTCAGTTCTGGGCCCCTCAGTTCAGGAGGGACATTGAGGTGTTGGAGCAGGTCCAGAGAAGAGCAATGAGGCTGGTGAAGGGACTCGAGCACAAGTGCTGTGAGGAGAGGCTGAGGGAGCTGGAGGTGTTCAGCCTGGAGAAGAGGAGGCTCAGGAGAGACCTTATCACCCTCTACAACTCCCTGACAGGAGGTTAGAGTCAGGCGGGGGTTGGTCTCTTCTCCCAGGCAACCAGCAGCAGGACAAGAGGGCACAGACTCAACCTCTGCCAGGGGAGGTTTAGATTGGATATTAGGAAGATATTTTTTACAGAGAGAGTGATCAGGCATTGGAATGTGCTGCCCAGAGAGGTGGTGGATTCACCATCCCTGGAGGTTTTCAAGATGAGACTGGATATGGCACTTAGTGCCATGGTCTAGTAACCACAGTAGAGGTGGGCTTGATGATCTTGGAGGTCTTGCCAACCTGATTGATTCTATGATTCTAATTTAGTTGCATTAATTGCAGATAAACCTGTGGCAAGAATAACTAGTAACTAATAACTGCCTGTGAGGTTTTGTGAGCACAGGGTTGGCTCTTCATTTATATTTGCATTAGAAGTCCAGAAACAAGTACTTTTCCAAGAATTGTATTAGCAAGTTTCTACTTTGAACAGTAAAAGCTAATCACTTGTAATGCAAAAATACTGAGAGAACTGCAATAATCTGCCATGGAATCTCCTTTATGTGAAGTTTTAGTAAAAAGCTCTTGCTTAGAATGTAAGTGATGGAATTAATACAGAACCAAATCAGAAAAAAAAATAGAATGGAATTAAAGTTCTCTCCAACATTTTACAAAAGCAGAGAGAATGAACATGACATATGCCACAGCACAGCTCAAGATGCCAGCCTGTCTGTGTAATAAATATAATCTCTGATTGAGAAATCAAGACCAGAGCTTCAAAAGAGTTGAGTCCTATTTGGTGACTGATGAGAACTCTTGATTTGGATAATTTAACTATGATACTTGTCAGTGTAATTGGTGAACTATCACTAATCAGAGAGAACAGCTGGTAAGAGCAGAGGAATCTGTGTTTTGCACTCAGCCTAACCAACAACTACCAGGCTAGCAAAAAGTGATTCCATCTACAATGCTCCAGACCTTTCAGAAGAGCAGTTACCGCTGCCATTCTCCTGGCCAGAGGAGAACATAGATATCAGCACCTATTAATTGACTTGCAAGTTGGCTTCATGTATGGTAGCTCTCTGAAGCATTTCATGGGTATTAATTTGCACATTGTCCTGCTCAGTACTTTCATTGCTCTCCTTAGTTCTTTCCCTTGATGCTGCTGGTTTCATGCTGGTCTGCACCAGTTCGTGGAGATTCACAATACAATTCCTTTTTCTTCTTCTTCTTTTGTGATAGAAGATGAAGATATCTCTATTTTCTTCACAAAGCTGTCTTTGCTCAGTACTAACCTTATAGTGACTGCAGGACAGCTCATAACAAGCTTCTGCCTTGGTACCCATATCCTGATGTTGGATTTTTGTACAATGCCTTGAGTCTGCAAAGGTTTCAATTCATATAGCTCATTTTCTCAATATATTTCCTGCTTATGTTGTTGGGGTTTTTTCCCACAGTGGTTATGATCACAGCTTCACAATATACCCACTTTTAAAATCAGTAGTTACTTCAGCAGGCAATTCTATGCTTTCTAGTGAAAAGCATAGAATTTCTTTTTTTACACACTAAGGTCAAATGGGGATTTTTTAAAATAATTTCATACCATTTTCTACAAGCCCTTACATTGTGGATATCTTTGACATAAAATTTGAATTTTACGCTAGGAAAAACCTTTTGATTCTAATCAAGTCATAGTATTACACCATATGCTGTACACAGTCTACTGCCCAGGAAAGTGGTGGAGTCATCATCCATGGAGGTATTCAAAAAACATGTAGATGTGGCACTTAGGGACATGGTTTAGTGGTGAACATGGTGGTGGTGCTGGGTTAGTGGTTGGACTTGATGATCTTAAAGGTCTTTTCCAACCTTAACAATTCCGTGATATCACATCAGTGTACACAAGGAGGCTAAAAGGCACATGAGTTAGGACAGACTCAAATGTTTACAAGGCCTTAAAGCCATGACTCAAGCCATGAAACTATTGCTTCAGTAAGTGTACAAAAAAAGATCTCCTTGTATGCAGACTTGTCAATTACAAAGAGCTTATAAAAAGGTAGAACTGGCATAAGGGCTTAAACAGTAAAAAAAAATCACTTGTACAAATCTTTCAGACATATTTTCAGTATAAAATGGATTTTGGTGTAGAAGTGTCAGCTCAACGGGAGATGTTTCAACATTCACAAGGACCCCAGATGAGTGTGAGATAGTCCTGATGGTGATTTTCAGTCATTGTAATTGAACTCAAATTGAAGTGAGTCCCAGCTGTAAATGATCACTGACTAATTTCCTAAGCCATTAATCCTGTCTATGGAACTTTCACTCATGCTTGTTTTTAAGAACTAAATTAAGAGTTAAATTTCTTAAGTAGTTCAGAGGTGAAGACAACTGACATTGACTCCTTCCCCCATTATGCATTTAGCAGAGTTAATGTATTTTATCTCTGAATGCACAGTCACTGTAGCTGCACTCAAAACTCTTAACACTACTCACACAGTAGCTGAGGAACAAAGGTTTCTACAAGATGCTTTTGAATTGTGTGTGTGTGGATACATTGAGCTCCTAAGAATCAAAATTCACCATCATCTTAACCCCCAGAAACACAAAACTTTTAAAAATCCATAATTAAATCACATGACCAGGGCTAGAGAAGCTTGACAGTCCTTGTTTAGCAGCAGTTTGTGTTTTGTGGCAGTCTTTGAGTAATGCTGAGGTGGCACTCAGGGAAAGGAGAAAGTACTCAAGCAAGGAAAGAAGTCATTTTGCAGTTTACCTTTCTTTAAACTCCTCTGGCTTCTCCAGACTTTTCTGATTTTTTCCTTCCATCATTTCAGTATCATTTTGTTCTTCTGTAGTCTCTTCAAATCTCTTAAAAGATGCAGAACAAATGGCATAAAAATTGATGAAACTTGAAAATCTATGGCTGTGCTGCAAAGGTTTGCTAAACCTGATGAATCAGTGCACAGCAATAGAATTTCTGTAGACAGGACCTTCTGAAGAAATAAGCAGAACAAGGTTACAGAGGGGCAATACCTTTTGTTGGACCAACTGTAACAACTGGAATAAACACAGAAGTTTTGGAACACAGACTCTATGTAACTATCCAGAACCAGGAGATGCTTGCATGGTCTCCTTTCATAGTTACAAACAAACCCAGCACATCCCTTCCTACTCTATGTTTACACAGCACATACCACGTTAGGATTCTTAATCCCTGACTATGGGTGTCAAACAAGATCACAAAATATAAACAGAAGACAGCACAATATGCTTCTATCAGCACAAGGAGTCCTCAACCATCTGGTCCAGAGAGGTGAAAGCATCCAGATGCAATGCCACAAAAAATTACCAAACCTTTCCAAGACTGGCCTACTGAGCTCCTCAGACTTAGAAGAGACCTTCTACAGAGGAGTGAGTCCAAATACTGTACTGAGAAAATCCCTTTTTTTGAAGATCATCCCTTGGAAATCAGTTCTGCTTCTAATCAGTGGAACTATATTGATCTCTGTCTGAAATCAGCCAGTTTTACCCCAGTATTATATACCCACATATTTATTTGTGGGGGAAAAATAAGAAGGAAAGAAGGATTTTCCATTATCCTTATTGTAAAGCATATTTAGTTAAACACAAACCCTTGCAAACCAGCAGGACATGTGGAAGCTCTATATTCAAGCCCTGGGGCTCACAAAGGGGTGGCCCTGCTCTATTTTAAAGTGTGCTTTCTTGAGCTAGCACGAAAGTCATCATGACATGGTGCCTTGATAGAAATTGTGGCCTACACTGAGGTTAACAGAAAGCAAGTTATAAGAGCCTTTACACTCATGGACTCCTCTTCCCTAAGAACATATAAGTGATGCTATAGAAACACAACTATAAGACTGGAATCACCTGTTGGTCTGTGTGAAAATACACTGATTTTTGTGTTTCAGAAAATACTATGGTAGGATGTATATCTCCATATGTAACATGCATTTATGTAAAACAAAGTACAGTTACCTTTTTGAAATAATTAATTTTCCTTTCTAATTCTTCTGCTTCTTTTTGCAGCTCAGTGGATTCCTGTGCAGTAACTGCAGCAAGCTGTAACATCTCCTGTGTTTTTTGCTTCAAAGAGGCACTTTGATGTTATGGAAAACAGATTTCAACATTACTTATTTCCAGCAAGGGATAGAATCAGATTCCTGAGCCCTCTGTGCCATATGTGCAACTGTTAGAGGTGAGAAAGCTGTGACAAATCTACATTTCCTTGGCAAATCTTCAGATCCAATTTCTCCTTAATGAAGCAATTTGATGGACATAAAACTGAAGGAGGGAAAGTCTAGGTGATCTAGTGAGTAGGTGTCCCTGCCCAGGGCAGGAGTTGGGACTAGATGATCTGTAAGGTCCATTCCAACCCCTAAAAGTCTATGATTCTATGATATTGTTAAGTGAAATTTTATTTTCTTTCCTCAAAATGCTCCCATAAATTTAAACTGAAGTGTTACTTGACCTTCAGTTTTCTCACAGAGAAATGCTAATGCTGCCACTCTAAACATAAATCTTTAGATAATTGATATCTTCTCTAATAGAAAGTTGTGAAAGATAAATATAAACTTTCCTCCCTGCCAACAGCATAAGCACTCAAGTCAAGGATACATGTGTACAGCCCAGTCATTTATGGATTTAAAAGGAATAGCCTCTGCAGAAAGAAAATTTGATTTCAGGTAATTAATTAACAACTCTAATATTCTTAACAAATACAAGAAAAATTACTAGATCAGAATCAGTTGTCTTTACTTAGTATAGGTGACAGAAATAGCACAATAACAGTAATGCCATTAAAAACCCCACTAAAAGCACTAAAAAGGCATGAAAGTTAAATTTAAAGAAGTTCAATCTAAAGGAATTTTGGAACTCTTTTACCCCAAGAAGCCCAAAGGCAAACTTCTCCCTCTTACATCCATGGGTTGGAGGAAGGGACAGCAGTATATATACTCTACATTCTTGTTTACTGCAGATTTTTTTTCCTAAAAATGGTCTAACTAAAAGAGCTTTTTATTAGCTTAAAATAAACTGTGGAAAATTAGCCAGAAGATTTCTGTATGGAACTGCATTTCAATGTGCAGTTCACTACCCACAGGCTGTATTATAAAGCTCTGACAACAGCAGTACCCAGAATATCTGAGGAAGCATCTTCTTTCCACTTATATTTTTCACAGCGTTTCAAAACTCTGTTTTGTATCTCTTCAACTTCCTTCTTCTTTTTATAATACTCCTGGGCAAGAGCAGTTCCTGTATATTTTTCTCTATATTCCTTCAAAACTTCTTTATATTGGGTTATGTAATCCTGATACATTTTCCTAGAAAAAATACATGTACTTTAATTTTTTCACACGAAGCCATTGCTTATAAAGCTAAAACTATTAATTTATGGCATTAGCTCAATTCGATTTGCTGCTGTCCCAGAAAAAAAAATATTATATTCAATATATCACTATTTGACTTTATTTTTTATCTCCCAGCTATTTTCAAGTAAGGCCATGCTGTGTGTAACAAAGAATAAATACAGTCATGATGTGAAAACCAGTCAAACTTCATTGTTTTGAGAGGAATGCAGACCATACCGTGCTCAAAGGCAGCGTGGCAGATGACAAGTGGGTTTTTCCCTGTGTAATTATCACAAAACACATTGCAGGCCAAATTCTCTGTTGGTGTATTTTGGCACAACTCCAGTGGTTTCGGTGGAGCTGTATCAAGCTTACAGTAAAATAGAATTTGGCCAAACATCCCAGATTTAGAGCAGCCTGATCCACCACTGGGCTAAGAGCTGCCTCCAAGGAGATGCTGAGTAATCTGTGTCTGACTCAGGGAAGCCTTAAACACACACATTAGTCACACCAAAATAACAGGACTATTCATACTTTAGGTTAAGCAAACACTTCAATGTTTCATTGGCAAAGAGCCTGAATGTTCAGCTCCTTGTAGGTCTGCCTTGTAAATTCATGTTGCACTAGTAAAATTTCACTGACATCATGTGAGTACACAGCTATGAATTCCTGAAGTAGGTAACATCAGTTCATGTTCATGACATATCTAAAACTTTCAAGAGGCTTTTGGGAAAATTCTGCTATAAAAACAAATGCCATAACAAGGAACAGGATGCGACTCATCAAATAAAGCAGAAAATGTATGTAAAATAATTAGAGTGTGCTGCTGAGTGTTTGTTCAGGTGTGAACAAAGGGGTGTCACGGCTGCAGACATCCAGCCTGTGCTGGTAACACACCTGTGTCATGTAACTGGGAAAGAAACATTACACTAAGTTGCTTGATGTTGCAATATGTCAATCTAAAATCACAGAAGGTGAAGGAAATGTCACCCTGGAAGGAAAAGGTTATGTGAACAACGAGAGAGGCGAATTTAAAACTATTAAGTTATTAGTACACCTGTGGATTAGCAAGAAATTCCTTTATGGAACAAATGATGGTGCATAATGGCAACTAACTGCAGAGATCCCTTTGCCTCCCCCATGAATAAAACCTGCATTAAGGAGCAGCTCTCGCAGTATTCCTCTGAAAGGAACACATTAACACATTTTATCTCAAACTGCTGTTAATCACTTCATTGCAGCATGGCTGAAAGGCAAACAGTCCTGGCTGCTTAGCCCAGGCAATGGAAGAGAGAAAAACTTGTGTCCAAATTCTATACTAGAAACTTCTGCTCTTATGAAAGAAAAACAGAAGTCACAGTGGGGGAAAAAAAATCATAATTTACAAATCAAACCACACTCCAGGCACTAGTTCCTGTTAAACTGTCTGAAGCTCAATACATTTGCTTGGGGGAAAGAAGTTGTAAATCAACACTGTGAAACCAAGGAATTGATACTTCCCAAACATCATATAGAAAATTACATCAATTTGATTTTCTACAGAGGTGTTCTCAGGAACAGAAGCTGCTTGTTTTACTCGATATTTGTGTACACTGTGTGAAATTTCCCAGGGATGAAAGATTAAGAAGATTTAGTTCTGTTTAACTTAAATGATACAAACAGCAACTGAGGGGAAAAAAAAAAGAAATTTGCTACTATGTAATTAAGAATACATCCCAGATAAATTTAAATAATATAAATAAGTAAAATAATCTGTTGTGGCAGGTACATTTCAAGCTTCTGAAAGCAGTCATCAAACTTTATATTCTCATCCCAAAATGTATTTTTCACAGATTATTATTTATGGCCATATATGGTTCGGGAGTCTTGAGAAATTGTCACTTGTTTAGTATTTTTCCTAGGCAATTTACATCCTCTACTTCATGAAGATAACACAGACTATTCAGATTTCAGCACTGTTCACTTTAAAGTAATTAGAAAAAGAAGTTTTAATTACAATGGGAAGAGGAGATAACTCACACCCCTGAACATTATATGGATAGTGATTTATTCCTCTTTCCTTCTTCATGTCACTTATTTTCAGGATGAACTTCCAGTTCATATAAACATTCCCATATGTTCTTGAAACCAATAACAATGCAAAAACATGGACCATCTCTGAAACCTCCATAATAAGTGCCTAATTAAACCCAAACCGATCTGCCCATCCTACAACAACATCTTTCCATCTAAAGTAGGATGTCCTCAGTGCCCCCAAATCCCAGGCTAAAAAGCACATTCAGCTCATAAAGCTCTAAATATAGTTATTTTTCCTCCCAATTTAAATATTTAGAGTTTGCTGAATGCACATCTTGCTGATCCGAACACATCACCAAATGCTTCGGTGCAGAGGGACTAGATTTGAGAGCACTTTGGAAAAATCCATGGATTAAGTTTATTTTGTGATTTGTAGTCATGATGTCTTATAATTAAGCTCAGGAAAACAGATCAAACACTTCCATGTTGGAATTGAAACTAGTTATCTAAAGCAGCAATTTAAAAGTAATGCTTCTTTGGCTTGTCAGCTCAAATTAGTGAGAGCCAAAATGGCTTAATCATATACTCATAGAAAGCCAATTTAGCCTTATTTTTCACCAAATTCAGAGCTCTGAACAGGAAGAAGACAGATAAGCTACTAACTGAGTTAATTAAAGGCTATCAGGCATGAGATTTCTGCTGTCTTGGACAACTGGCAAAAAAAACACTTACAAAAGACTCAAAGCCAACATACAAAATTACCTAAATTTGCAACTCTAAACTGGTACTTAGATATCTGGAGAGCTCTGCCATGACTTTTGCACCGTGGGGCTAACCAACTCTTCCCCCTCACGAGCAGATCAGTGGAGGTGAGCAGCCTCCCTCAAAGATCAATTTTACCCCAGTGTTAAATAAAACTTCTGAGGGTTTCCTTGGCACAGCACATGTGGAGCATTCCAGTGAAAATCTTCAGGGACTAATCCTTGTCCCACTGTATGTAGGCAGCTACACTGCACAATTAATTATTACTTTTAAATGCAGGCTCTAATTAATGAAGAGGAAACACCTGAGATGCAACTTACTGAACAGAATTGACCTGCAATTAATTAGTGCTTACTCACAGCTGGGCTTAGGATGGTTTTAGACCAGGCTTACCTGAGCCACTCACCCTGTGTTTCAGGCTCCAGGATAGAATTTGTTGCTTTGTAGTTATTTGGAAGAAATATGTATACATATACACAGCACTATACAGAAACCTGATTTGTGTCTTCTAATAATCATGTGCAATTCATATTCATAAATGAAGAAAAGCTTAAAATTATCTCAATGTTCATGGTAGTTATCTGAAAATATTGTTTTTATTTCCTGGGCTTTTCTCAACTGTTAGGCAACTGAACAATGTTCTGAAAAATAGGCATTTGGGGAGCAATTGAATTTGGAGAATCCATATTTTATCCTATGAGATCGGTAACTACGAATAACGTATAACCTTACAATAATGCAAATCAAAAATTCTTTTCATTACTCAGTCACCTAAATCACCCTGAAAAGTTTACAACTCTTTCCTGCAGACAGCACTGTTTGCTGACTGGTTTAGTCAGGTTAGTAAGTACTACTGCTGGAAACCTCATCCCACACGACCACAGTTACCTCTCATTTTCTGTAGCTTCCTCTAAAGCTTCAAGTTCACTTTTCAGATATTCTCCATGCTTGCTAAGGAGTGCATAGGTGGGCTTCCAGCTGTGCAGGGAGGGGAAAAAAAGGAAAGACTATAGGTGGTCTTTCTTAATAAAAAGCCATTCAGAACCGAAGATCCAGTTACTTTAGTAAGGTTCCTACAACAAATAATCCACTTAACGTTCTGAAAGTCAGATGTAAATGGGTTTCGTACAAAAGTCTTTTAGTGCAAATGGTTATTTTCTTAAGATTTGAAATTCAAGAAAATCACAATTCAAGATATTACATATATAAGTAATTATATATGAACACATGATTAAGAAAGATTACAAAGTACTTCTTAGGGAATGAATAGACAGCTTGACGAAATTTTTGTGCCTAATGCTAAGCAATTAGGCATCTAAATCCACCTATTAAGTACTCAACACAGCGCCATCAGTAAATCCTTTAGATATGTAAAATCCTCTTGTTGAAGGTGTCCACAACTTCATTCTCATTGGTATCACCAGCAGCCATCTCATTCCTAAATGCAAGCAGCAGTCACAAACTCGAAATTTCCTCCGTTTGCTAAGCATGTCCTGCTCAGAAAATATCAAAGTGATTTTCCTCCAGCAGGATGCTGTAGATGGTACTGAAAGCACAGCAACTTCAGGGAATACATGAAGGACTTCTGACAAGGAAAATAATAGTACTTTTTCAGCATCCAGTTACTAGAGATTCCTCCTCCTTGGATGTGGGAAATCTAGAAAAACAGGCAGATAGACTCTCATTCAAGTGAAATTTGGATGTCATCTTTAGGAGAGGCACGTAAAGAGCTTTTTGAAAAGAAAACATCCTGCATGAAAAAGGATGGTGTAAGGTGCATGAGCCGTCCAGGCCTGGATGTCTCCTCCACTCCCTGCTATAAGAGCTAGCAAAAAAAGGCATTTGCAGAAAAAGCTGTAACTGAGCCAATGGCCAGGGCACTGCTCAGTTAAACAGGGTAAGAAACAAATTCAGAAACCTCTGTGCATGGAGCCTCCAAACAGCCAGTAATGACTTAATAAGACTTAACAGACACCACAGTGTTGTGAGGTGAGGGAAGGAAAAAAAATTACTGAACTCTACTGAGCTAAACAGGTTTACGTGCCAGCACTGTGCTCCTTCAGAGAGAACAGCTCCTGCAATGACATAGGTGTCACAGGTGACTTCTGAGATATTGGGAGCTGAGATTCAGCTCTGAACAGGCTGCGTGGGAGCAGGACAGAGATCCAGCTTCTGATGAGAAGAAACCCATATGCTCCCTCCAAGGGAATCTTCTACAGAAAAATAAAGATAGCACAGCCTCTCTCTAGTCAGGGCTTAAAGTGATCTATAAATTCAGCTTTTGTCCAGAATGCAAGATACCATAAGGCAACACTAACACCTACAATGAAGCTTGAGTGGTGCTATCTGTCCCAGGAGATGCGTGCACAAACCCCAGATTTAGGAACACATGCATAGATACTGTCAAAGCTAAATGTTGAAGAAATAGGAGGGAAAATCCCTAGGGACTGAAGATACTAAGTGAATCTGGACCAGCAGAGACGCATTTAAATAGTTACATCAACAAGGAGGAGGGGGGAAATGGGAATACAGAACAAGGCTGCAGCTGAGCAAAGCAAATAATTCAAAGAGCAACTAGGGACGTTCAGCTCATTTTGTACTGCATGAGCAGGGCAAGCACAGGGCATTTTTGGATATGACTGTGCCCTATGGTTCAAAGCTGGAAGGTTTGTGGCATGCAATCACACAAAGTATGAATGTCCTTTTGAAAAACCACTCCAAGGGTGGAATGAAACGGAAGGTTCAGTAACAGTTAACTTAATGCAATTTTCATCAAGAAAACAAATAAAAAACCAAAGATCTGACAATCTGTTGAACTGAAGTCCAATAATCTTGGACTCCACGTGGTGAGACAACACAAAACACAATCAACATGTATAACAGCAGTGAGGTTTGTCAACACAACAGTTAATTGAGAAATTGCAACATCCTTCAGAAAACTTAGCCCTGTTGGCACAAATTGTTTGACACCACTAGTGACGCAATTACAAAATGTTACTTCACCATTTTCTACTGCAAATTCGGCATAAAGATGAATTTCTAAAGGGTCAGATTTTTTCAAAATCAGAAACCAACATAGATATATAAAGATGTACTGGCACAATAACACTGACGTTCTACTCAGAAAACTCTGTGCCTTTCTTTGGAAGAAAACAAACCCAAGTTACAAAAAAGTCATAGAACTCCTAAAAGTACAAACCATGTGGTCTGTTAGATTTTGTGTACACATCTGTGGACATGCGAAAACATGAGGTACAAGAGCACTGGTTTGGGAACACAACAAGGTATGCAGGATTCAAGTAGCTCATCTAGTAATTTGCTAAAAGCATGTCTGTTCAGGGATTCTCTTGGTAACAATCACATTTATTTCTCCTTCCCTTCATCAGCCAGGGGATAAAAGAAATCTTAGTCCACATTAATCTGAAGGAAAAAATATATCCTGTAGTTCGGCTAGTGGGACAAGACAACAATCTCTTTTCCAAGTTAGCAATGTTCTGAGTTCATCTGGCTTTTTAAAAGTGAATTTATTAATTTGTTTCCATGAAATCTCACCATCCTTGCACCTAAATTTAAACACTAGAAGAGAAACAATGCAATTGGAACAGGTTTCAGCAGCAGCATTTCTCCCCTTATTACTCTGGGATCAACAGGTCGAGTCTGAATCATTAAGGAGATTAAATATTGGGGAAATGTCATCTGTTGTCTAAAAATATGGATTTATTTTTGCTCATTTTGTGCCTTCAGTTCTTTGTTACAAAGATCAATATGGATTTCCTTAGAAGACGCAGTATTATCCCAATACATCTGTCTTATGTATGATGTTTTCTGCAGACTTGATGAATGTAAGAATCCTGCATTTTGCTCCAAGTCCCCAAATCTGCTTCAATATACTCATGCTGTAACCCAGACAAAAAGTTGGTTCTTTGGGAGCTCTGTTGAGCATCACAGGCAATTACTGAGCTGTGAGGGTGTTTGTGACTCCATAACAATATCTGAATTTACAAAATCAACATTAGAATCATGTCCAGTGTAGATGGAGTGTCAACTAGAATAAATTTTGGAAGTTTAAGATGATTCTACTGTGTAAGTGCTCTAATTGTCTGGTCTTATAGCTGAGGCTTGTTTATGGCAGTGTTCAGGATGTCGTTAAATGACATTTCCAATAATTTAAGACACAAAGTCTCTACTCTTCTGCAAGCATTGTCCTTCTATGAATACATGCATTCAGCAATGAGTCACTTCTCATTTTCAGTCTCTTTACACTAATGCCATTAATTATTCTTTGTAGGACTTGAGCCAAAACCCATTGAATTCAATGATTAAAATTTAGATCAGATCCTTAGTTCTACCCTTAATTTTTTATTTCTTCATTTGCATCACTTAACAGTTTGTGATTTGCAAACAGATCTGCAACCTCAAAAAGAGATTGAAGGGAGTAGTGTGAGTGGTTTCATAAAGTTACAAAAATGCTCATTTTGTACCACATTAGAGGCAAAAATTTAATGCAATGAAAAAACGGAACTTTCTTGTCAAGTTCAACTCTTTTTATAGATCAGTAGGGTATGGGAATTCATTCAAACAGCTTGTCACTACACCCACTTCATCCCCTAATGATTCCATTCTTTCTTCTGTTCTCTGAGAGTCCAAAATAAACCCAGAAAGGTCCCTGATGCAATCTTTACTTCTCTCTTTATTCTTACAAACACCCACATTCTTCATTCACAGAAAGAAAAATCAAACCTATGTTATAGATATTTTTATTCAAGAACTCACCTTTAGATATAGAATTGCAAGAAAACAAAACAGAATTTGCTAACAAATATTCAGCTGCTGAGGAACTAGACAGATTGGGGAGAGATGAACACTGCAATGGATTTTATCATCTGGGCCACACTCTGTATTGCTAAATTCAGATTTGCCTTTTTAGTTACCCTTGCAAACACCTGAGGTTTTCATATTTAAAAATTAAAATTTGTGTGTCAGGAAGAAAATACTCCTTGTACCCAAATTGTTGCTTGAAAAGCTCCTAAGATCCAAAAGTGATCTGCAGTTAAAACTTGCACTAATAATCTGACAGAAATATCTATGCAAATAAAACTGTGAAGTGCAGCCCATCACACTCATTAGAACAGAGTGGCTAAAGAACAACTTTACAGTCTGCAGTGAAAATTGTACCAAAACCTGCAAGCAGAAACACTCACGTGTATGCAGAGGCAGTTATGACACATCTAAGAAGAAAATATGTATAGAACAAAAAGAAACATGAAACATTTTGTGGAAAAATAGAATAAAATATGTTCCATTTCCAGAAGCCTTTTTTAAATAGTATTCTTAACATTGGTCATGTTTGACAGAATTCAGATACATCCAAATAAAGAAAAATTATGTTTCTATTACCTGACTACATGAACACTTTAGGATGCTGCAGAGACAGTAACTGTGACCTCTGAAAATTGTTGATTCTAACAAATAACTAATCCAAGATCAAATGCAGTTGGTTTTAATTTAATTTATTTTCCCCGGGGATGGGTAATACGCAATATTTATGCCTTAAAATTTTCAGTTTGGAACAAATAGGAGAATAGTAAGGTTGTTTTTAACATCATTCCTGTCAGAACCCACACACACATTTTTTTCCAATCCTTCCTCACTCACTTTCTTCGCAAATCTCCAAGTTCAGGCTATGTTATACTCACGCATCACAGTTCTTCTTACTGCTCTCATTTTGCTTGTGTAAATCAGCAATTACATCTTTGCTGCTGTTTATATTTTCCTCCAACCTAGCAATCTCATTCTTTTTTTCTGTGATTTTTGCAGTATACACTGAAATCGAAAAGTAAATAAATAATTATATTCATTGTAAAAAAATCCGTTAAATAAAAATTCTACATTCAAAATTATTAAAAATGTCTTCCAAACTACTTCATCTCCATGGTGCCAGGTGAGTGAACAGCCTGCAATTAAGCAAAGCAACAACAGAGTCAAAACCTGTGGAGTTTCATCTGTGTGGCAAGTGTCTTAATTATCCTCTGATAATTTGAGATTGACTTTGGAAGAGAAAGAAATTATTTGTGCTGTTTGTGAATCCCAATCTCTATAAATCTGAAATAACTATTAGTGGCAGAAATCAAAGCACTCTCAGCAGTTCGAGCTGAGTTTCTGCAGACACCAGAAGCAGCGTTCAGGGAAAGCAGGGTAAGCCACTGTGCCCTCGGGAATGTTTGCAACTGATCGAAGCACAAACTTGGGATAAAGATCTCTTTGAAACGTTTGTTTTCTTTTACAGGAGTCCAGAAACACAGATGTTTTGACTGGGGAAGCTGATTACAATAAGAGGAAAATAAAAACATCACTGAAGGTATATAAGCAAATTATTAGTGGGAACAGAAACAGAGAAATTAAAATAAAAAGGAATTTTACTCAGGGTGAGAATGTGTAAAGTATGATACATTAATGTAGGGCATGGGTTAATTAATTTTAAGAATGCATTATAATGACAGATTCTCAAGGACTGTGATATTTGTGGAGATTCTTAAGGCAGACTCTTCATTCTGCCTGTTCTGACAGCAGAGAGCTGGTAACGCTTTGTGAATGAGTGGCTAGTAGAGAATCCACAGTGCTGAACAGGATCAGAACTCTCTTTCCCAAGTCAAAGCTGTGATGCTCACCTTGTCAAGCAATGAGCACAACTATGTGCACTTTTTTTTCTCTGTGTTTTTTCTTGGTCTTTTTTGTTTGGTTTTGCTTCTGGTTGGTTTTTTTTAACTTTTTTCACACAAGGTGTCAGATTTACCAGTGCCAAATCATCCCTTGCTATCACTTCTGCCCTGAAGCACTAAATGCCAGAGTAGGTGGCCCTGCACAGAAGTCAATCACAGACTTCCTGCCCGTCTCATCCACTCAGCCGGGAACAGCATCTTAGTTATGCCAGGTGCGTCTTGAGTTGTTTGAACTACTGCTCTAGAACTTCAGGTCATCCAGAAGTTTGGGTCTGGGTTTACACTACTTGCTATATATTCACTTGCAACAGCACCTGCATTTATACCAGCGAACAAACCTCAGAGAGAAACATCAGTCAGTGACAAGCAAAAGATTCTCAGAGTAATATCTTGGTTTATCCTGAATATCTTCATATGTTAATATTTCCCATATCTAAAGTCAGTAACTTGCATTACTCAGCATGAAGTACAAACACTGGACAACTGACACAGGTTTTGTGTCTGTAAATAAACAGGTGTGTGTGGAAGTATCCTGCACATAACTTGTGGAGATTCACCAAGATACATCGTAACTGTATAAATGCAATATGCACTTACCATTTCATTTAGTATTTTCTATAGATGAACACTTCTGTGACAAGTGTGGGTTGCTCTACTCACCCTTTGCTGGTGGATTGAGATCCATCTCACCCAACTTTACAGTGCAGAACTGGACACCCATGGCTGCAGACACACTCAGCATAGACCAGCTGATGTTTCAAAGCTTAACTTTGTCAACCTACTTTAGACTCTTTCCTCAGGATAAGGTGAATCACACCCTGAAAATGCCTATTTCCCTCCACTGGTTATAAAGGACTGTAGCCAAAGAGCCTGATGAATCTCACACCTGAATTCTGAGGTTGAATGCTACAGCTGTTCTTCTGCCAGGTAATACACAGAGAGGAGATGAAACCAGTGCTACTATTTCTGGGTAAGTTTTGGAAAGATTTAACACAAACTTCTATAATTCTGTGTTGGTTGTCAGTTCACACATATTTAGGTACCTCTGAACTGAACACACAAGCAGCTATGCCGTGTTACTACACAGCCTTTGGATTTTCCCTGAGCTCATTTCCTATAACCTTCCATAAATGTTAAGAAAAACCTCATCTCTAGGTTCAATTATTGTGACTGAAGAGTTAAACCAGAATTCTAGGTGTGCCAGATTTAGTGTTACTGATGTTTTCATGTTTAAGATGCTTCAGTTTAATACTGATAATCTTCTTAATGACTAAGTATTTGCTTGGATATATCAGTGAAGATTATTAGTAATGTTGTCATCAAAAAGATCACCAATTAGACCAGAATTCTCTCTTGTTCTGTTTCCTGAAGGTTATGAGCTTCAATATCCATCTATGAAGTACCAATGGTGAGCACAAGTATCCTCAAATTGTCTAAAGAAGAGTTTCTGTACCACAACCAATCCTGAGAGTGATTTCACATAGTAGCATGATTAAAAAACAGTAAGTCAAGGCATATTATGCTGTCTGTAAGTCCTAGAGGGAAAACAATTTGATGTGGAGCAACACTTTCTCTTTGGGTTTAGTGTTGTGAATTTCAAATAAAATAACCAGCTGCTTGGTTGAAAAAAAAAAAGAACAACCAGGCACGAGTAGGTAGCAGCAACTGAGAGAACTTTCATTATTGGAAGAAAACAGAAACAGAGAAGAAGCAGTGAGGCAGAGGTCCAAATCTGGAAAGAACAAAAAACATGAAGAAAGAAAGGGAGGCAAGTGGCAGATGTATTGAGCAAGCACAGCTGAATCAAAGAGCTGCCAGTGACTGCGAGGAGCTGCAGAGACGGAGCAGGAAATGGCGCAGCATGAAACTGGCTGTCCGTGAGGCAGCTGAACGGCGTCAGCTAAAAGTCGCGAGCAAAAGCAAAGTCTGCTGGGGAGAATGAGCAAGTATTGATGGCAAAAGACGAGACAGGGTGAAAGCAGGACACGGGACAGCTTCCATTGTTCGGCTTGCTTCCGCCCCCGGGACACAGAACATGTCCCAAGGCTAAGGGAACAAAAGGAGTGTTCAATGTCTAATAAAATGATAGTTTATCACTACTCACAGTTTATCTGTTGATTCACATGTTCCTTAGCGTAAGAAGTTTGTTCTACCTGGAAAACTTAAGAAGAAAATTAACACTTTATGACTGTATATACAGTTTTATAAAAAGTTATATGTGAGTTGAGCTGTGATACAAACGTATGAGCTGTGATACAAATGTGCACGATGCTGCATTAATTGCACAAAGTGATTAACGGTTATGTTAACAAGATATCTAAATAGCAATTTCTCTCAGCACCTCTCTCTTTACCCTCTCAGCACCTCTCTTTGCTCTCACAGCTAACAAAACTCGATGAAGGCAAAGACCAAAACCTTAATATTGTACATTTATTTGAAGTCCATATAACTATTTAAAGCAGAAAATACTGGTACACGTATTGCATTAGCAATTACTAATTTAATATAATGTGGTATAATGACCTACCAAGCTCGAGCAGAAGTTTGTCCAAGTTCATCAGAAGCCTGTCACTCATTGTGTGAGCTACAAAAGGAAAATGCAGTTCAGGGATTTGCACACCCCAAAGCTTTATTGATACAACAAACAAGTCAGAATTGCAAGACAATACCAGGCCACGTATTGCATTAGCAATTACTAATTTAATATAATGTGGTATAATGACCTACCAAGCTCGAGCAGAAGTTTGTCCAAGTTCATCAGAAGCCTGTCACTCATTGTGTGAGCTACAAAAGGAAAATGCAGTTCAGGGATTTGCACACCCCAAAGCTTTATTGATACAACAAACAAGTCAGAATTGCAAGACAATACCAGGCCTTTAAACATAAAGGGGGGAAAGTTGAGTTTTAATTGCATTTGAGTTACTATCTAAACCTCTTTAGAAGAACCAAACTTCTCGCTGATAGCGGTAATGGACTCATTGAAAGTCTAAACCACAGTTAGGGGGAAAGGAGGTTTGTCATTTGGGTAAAGCGCTTCCCCTGCAGCACTTCTACCTTTGGGAGGCTCAATGTTCTTAGAATGCAAGAGAAGATGTTTGTGTACATGTGTAGCCTCTGCTCCAGCTGGTTACTAAGCCTATGGGCTGCAGTGCTTGTGGTGGAAAAGCTGCTTAGCCGCCCTGCACACTCCTCCCGTGGGATCGCCAGCACACTGGAATCATACGGGGTGGTTAAAGTGTGATTAAAGACAGAACTTTCCTAGGACGGAGAGCAGAGTGCTCCAAACTCATTCTGCTGTTCGCATCACGTAGAAATACAGTTATGGGTTTTAAACAGCTGTGGAATGATGTAGTTTCCTAAAAAGGATTATAATCACCGTTTATCGGAAGTACCGAACGCAACAATTTAGCTCAGATACATTAACAAGAGAAGTTATCTGATACTTAACTGCATCACAGTGTCTTCCCCACAGCAATGCGAAAGGAGTAAAGCCACGACAAATTGGTGATGAGGATGAGATCCTAATCCAGGATAAAGAGGAATAGAAAACAACTGCAGAACTGAACTAAAGTGGCATTAAGGCTACATCCCGCGGCAGTGAGGCTGCGGGAGCCGCGGGAGGGGCTGTGGGGGCGATGCGAGCTCTGCACGTTTGACAGAAACGAATTTGTCTGCTAGTTCAGGCAGGATCAGAACACCTAATCCAAACGGCTGGATTAGCACAGGCTGTGAAAAAACTCCGGGAAAGAGATAATAGTTTTACCCGATGTATTTAAAAGATTGAAATCATTGTTCCTAGTGCCTGGAAACACTTGAGACAGCAAATAAAAAAATCATCTGAAAATACTAAGTAAAATACTAAAATAATACCTCAAGGCACAGGTCAATGCAGGGTATTTTTGCTTCTACACGATGTGAAAGAAAATCCGAAGCAATTCCTTTGGATGAAAGAAATAAAATTAGTTTGGAGCCTGCATTAAAAATCTGTTCTCTACAAATACTTTAGCAATGTTTGCTAGTTGTTTTTCTCATGCTTCCCATAAAAACTGCAAGATATCGGGGCAAAGAAATTCTATGGACTGGCTTACAAACTTCAGCACAGGGTTCATCAGTAGAGCAGAGTGTATATCTCTGTATCATTAAGACATAGATAATTATATTATCATTAAGACAATTACAGTCTATTTTATCTTTTGAATATTTTTGTAGAAGAGAGAAACAGAACTGAGGGTTTAAATTTTTACTGCAATTTTACATTACAGTTTATGAAAAGGGTAAAGTTGCTTCTTCACATGTGAAATCCTTGTTATTCCAATACTGTTAAACTGAAGTAACATGATTGCAAAGGGCAAATGCTCCTCTGTGCTGCGAATTGAGAGGATCCAAGTGTCAGAACGGGCTGAGAGACTCAGCCGCACTGGTAATCTACAGGGTGTTTGCAGGTCTTAAAAGTAGTTAACACCAGCCTGAAACAAATTGTGGGCAGCTGATGCCTTCCAGGATATGACTGTAGCAAAGTCTGATTCTCGGTCCTGCTGTAGAAAAGGTAGCTTCGAACCATTAGCCAACTAAGGCTGACAAATTCAGAGGAAATTCTCATGTGTAGCTGATATTTTTGTTGAGGAGAAATATGTAACACAGGACTGGATAAAATAGTTTCAAACTGCATGGATTATTTTAAAGGGGCTATTCAGAATGCTTTATCTTGCGGGTTTTTACTATACTGATGTCATTATAAGGAATTCAATTGTGGCAATAAAGTTCAATACATTGCAAAATTATATTTGGGTGCAGAACCCACGAGCAAACTACCTACTGGTGTCTTTAACCATCATAAAATTAATATTAATGCCATTCCTCATAACAGAGCAGTAATATATCTGGCAACAGACGTTTCTAGGTTCTTCATTAAAAGGTGAAAAATACCCATCATCTGAGGGAAATATCTTCCTTAAAATCCACGGCTCGTTTCTACCACTTGTAGGCTGTGAAACTATTAATTTCTGGTTTATATATACATATATGCAGTTCAGGGATTTGCACACATATATTTGCACACAATATATATATAAAACCAGGAATATACATATAAAACAGGAATATACATAGAACAGGAATATATATGTTCTCGATAAAGAAATTATATATATTGCATATATATATGATTGATATAGATATATTGAGATATATATATGTATTGATATATGATATCTCCTTTGCCCAAGTGGCAAACATAAAGACAGGTTTGATAGCAGACACCAACTCCTTGTACACACACAGGCACACACACACACACACATATATATATATATATAAAATTTTCTTTCCAGTGAGGCTTTTCTGAGAGCAAACCTTATTTCTCTTGTGCTGTTCATTACTATTCACAACTGTAAAGTGACCAGTTATTTGAGTCTTCTTGAAACTTACTAGAGTTCACATTTCTGGACAATTTTTCATCTGTGTTGAATAAAAAAAATCCAATCAAAATATGTTTCTTATGGTGCTATTTACGCTCCTTAACCCATTTTCTACCACACTATTCTAGGAACCCTCTGACGAGCCCTAAACCCTTATGAGGAAACCTGAACCAAACCTCCAACTGAATTGCCCCGTTTTACTCCTTCCTACCCACACACCCCCCCAAACAAAAGCCTCTTG